ACAAGCTTCTTGACGCCACTGTTGCGCCTTGCCATGTTGCATGTAGTAACATGAAAATTGACACAGCAAGCTGAAAACAGCAAGTTGTCTTGTCAGCAGTCAGTCGAACACCATTCGTTGGCTTGAGTATTGGCAATTTATTTAAATGTCAGTGCGATTATGTTGCCGCTGCGAATTTTTGTAAGATGTGGCAGCATCAAGAAAAAAAACGAGTTAATGTGCAACGTTGCAACTCCCACCTTCCGGCGCGCAAATGCAATGCATAGGCAGCTGCATACAACAAATTGCAAAGAGCAATGAGAAAGCGCTGAATGACTGCTTATTAGCCTGCCGTTGTTGCTGTTGTGTCTCTGCTCATTCATATGAATGCCCGTTGTATATTGCAAAAGTGTAATTAAGCTTAAAACGCATCCATAAAACACTCAACTCATATCTGCATTCAACTGCAATGCGCAATCACACATATTTATACATACGCACGCGCATGCGCACATATGATCGCAAAGCACGCAGCTGTTAGCCTGCAGTTAGTTGATAGCGCAACAGCAATCGTGCATCCCACTTTGTGCGTGCGGGCCTAACTTGCAAACAGGTAAACTCCCCTACCCTTACCGCGCTTTTGAGTGCTTGCGAGATTTGTGGCAGGCAGCTTTGCCCGTTGCGTGGACGAAGTACCCAATATGCTATGCTAATTTGCAATTAGTCAATATTTAGCTGTTGCATCATCCCCCACTATTTCAATGCATGCTTACATAGCGTAGTGTTATGTTTGCGCATGCGTAAATTTTACAAATATCAATGATGCGCGAAATTTGCGAGGCGTTAACTTCGCAACGTCATAAATGATCGACATTTTAAGCGTTTAGTAGCATAGCAAATAAAAATTAGTAATAAGAACTGTAAATACAAGTGAAAAGCACTTAAAAATGTAGTTGTAAGTAATTCAGCGGTACATTCAGCACAGATAATACAATTAATTTGAGGGCAAAGCGTTTAAATTATATTAACTCAAGTGAAAAGACACACGGAAATACAATTCTAAAAAATTCAGCACAGAAAAGTGTTGGTTTCAACTCAAAAGACACATAAAAACGTTATTCAAAGCAATTCAGCTATATATTCAGCTTAGAAAAGTGTTGTTTTCTCACGTTTACATCATATTACATCTTTCAGTAACTATTCAGCGCATTTAAAATTAATTCAGCATATTTAATGACGAAGAAATAATTATCAAAACTCTGTTTGTAATAATCATAGCTCACGTTTTAAATTCAGCGCCATCTTATATCATTTTACTATTCAGCTCTTTTAAATAACACATAAACAAATTTATTACTGCTCGTTATTGTGGCGTCAAATGTTTATAGATTGTGTCCCACGGGACTTTAGGCCGTTAACGTTTTTTTTAATAATACAATTTACTGTTTTAATCCCTCATGATTTTTTTTTTTTGCATATTTGTTTATTAAAATTGTAATTCATGTTGCCTTCATATTATTAAATATAATTTAATGGATTTAGAAGCAATTCAGCTCTTTTAAATGCAATTTAGCTTGCAAATTAAATATATATTTGCATCAACTGTTTCATAATTCATCAATGATTGTAAGCATCACAAATTATAACCCCTATACAAAATAATATACAAAAAAAAAAAATAATAAAGTAATTTTTTATTTGAGTTTGCCAACGAAGTGCTATTCAGCAGATATGGCAACCAATAATTAGGTATGTAGGACTTCCTTCTCTCAATTTTTCTTTCTTTAGATCACTTCAGCGGAAGTTTTCCTAATTCAGCCAAGTATTTTTATTACAAGCATTCTTATTTCTTAAAATTGCAGCACACACTTTCCTTATATAAGTTTGATTGTCGTACAATTTTATCAAGTATTCAAAAATTAAAATACTTATTTTATAAAACTCCAAAATTATTTAGAAAATATTTTATGAATTAGTATATTTAGTATATTTGAATTTGCCACTTAAGTGCTATTCAGCAAAAATTTAAACCATCCATTAGCTATAAAGAATTTATCTGCTATCAATTTTAAAGCGTTTTTCTTTCTCTCGATCTCATTCAGCGCATGTTATCTCAATTACGCTAAGTATTTTCACTACCTAGCTAATATATAATATGTTATTATAATTCAATTCTGTAAAAATTAAATCAAACCTTATTCACACACTTTACTTCTCTGACATATTGTAAGTCTTTCAACGACAGCCATTTTCCGCCCCACTTGTTTGAGTTTCAGCAACTTTTTCCCAAAATAAATTTTATCCACTCGATTTAGCACATCAGAAGGCTTCTTTAATGAAATCGATGAACGAAGATGGCACAGTAAGCAATAATAAAAAGTAAAAAAAAAGTAGCGCCAATTGCAACAACAACGGTAATATGTCGTGTGCAACAAGCATACACCATTGTTATTGTATTGTATTTTCTTTCAGCGCTAGCTGTTCTTTTTGTTGGTAAATTCTTCGTCTTGTGCAGACAATGATCTGCGCTTGTAGTTTGTCTGCTCGGCCAGCCAATACATTTTTATCTCAAATTTTTTTACGTTGTTGCTGTTGTTGGTTATAAAAAAGGAAAAAGAGAAGATATTTGCATTTGATAGCCTTGGGATGACAACGTGAGTTTGGCGAATATTTTATTCCTGCTTCATTTTATTTTTATTTACTCTCGCTGCTCCTGCTTTTCAGCGCGTCTAATTTTGGTATAATTTTCGTTTGCATTTTCGGCAGTTGAAGTGGTCTCAATATAATGGAAGCTGAAGCATTATTTCAATGGATTTCGTAGAAATATGTTGAAGCGCTTTTGTGCGCGTATATGATGCATTGCGAAATTTATTAAAGCTGCTCTGAATTGTGTTGAGCTCAGTTAAACTGTGCTGAATTTATTACTGCAGCACATCCCCATACATATATATGCATGTATTAAATGTAAATATGTATGTAAGATAATATAAGATATTTGTGAACTTAGTATCATAAAGGCATTGTGGCAGCATTTTACGCTTAAAGTAGCAGAATATATAATAAAATATTGCGCTGAATTAAAACTGGAGTTTGAAACAACTATTGCAAGACGGTTAATACAATTATAAAAATCTCAAAACGTGCGCTGAATTGATTTAAATTACGCTGAATTGTAAAAAAAACAGCTGAATAGAAATAATTAACAAATAGCTTTAAAAAATCTTTGTCAACATCAAGATATTATTTCAAAAACAGCTTTATTTTTTTCCAGTGCGCTGAATTGTAAGTAAAAGCTACATCGAATTTGAATTCGATGCAATTTGTGAGCATCAAAAGAACTTAGATCTATTAAGAAAAACAAACAAACAATTTAGCTATACTTTCATGCGCTGAATAATGGTTTGAAGTAAATAAAAATTTTTTTCTTTTAATAAAAACACAATTCAGCTATACTTTTAAGCGCTGATAATACTTTGAGATAAATAAAAAAAAGTTTACTATACAGTTCTAAAATAAGCTACTAGTTTTATATTTTCCAGCATACTTTACGCTTGAATTCAACCCATTTTGAATATATTGCATTTAAAATTCGTTTAATTGTATGTCATCAGCATATATAAAACTTATTACTGAAAAGAAAACTTTAAAGTTATATGCAATTCAGCTCGTTTCGCATGCGCTTTTTTTTTAGACAATTAAGCATAATTTACAAGCGCTGAATTCATTCTTTGTGGATGAAGTGAATTTAAAAAATACCATTTACATAAAACCTTTTAATCAACAGTGAAGCTCGAATAATACAATATTTTTTACTTTTTAAGACAATTAAGCATAATTTACATGCGCTGAATTCATTCTATGTGCGATGAATTGAACTAAAGCACAAAATATTTAATCAAAATAAGTGTTTGCCAACGATGGAGCTCCAATAGTGCAATAGTTTTAAGACAATTCAGCATAATTTACATGCGCTGAATTTAACTTAAACACAAAATATGACATCAGTGAGCATATTTTCTTCAATAGAGCTAAAATAATACATCAAACTTACATTTTGTGACTATTCAGCACTACTTCAATGCGCTGAATACCAAAAGAATTCAATTAAAGTTAGTAAATGTATACAGTCCAGTTCAAGAATATCGCTTTATACCCTTATAGAAAATTCAGCAATTCTCAGAAGCGCTGATTTGAGTTCCCGCACAGTGAATTGCATTAAATCCGGTATATCTAACGTTTAAACTCTAAATTAACTTCTCAAACCTTCAACACAAGTTCATTATGTCAACAAAAGTGACAGAAAGGTAAAACAACTTTGTATGCAATTTAGTGCATGTATTCATGTTACCATGGAACGTTTGTATATATATACTATATATGGCTGAATGTAGGTAGAATGACGCGAAAAGAGTCGATAAAATTAACAACGCTAATTTGGTATGTGAAAAATGTCTTTCGGGCGTGTCGACGTTGCTGCGTCATTGCCCTTAAAAATCGCACGTCCAACGCTAGCCCCACCAGCTTGGGTATGCTGTGCAACATTGGAGAGCACGATTAAGAAAAAACTTGCATTTAAATTAACTTGGCTATAAAAAAGCACGAATTGTCTGGTTAGAACTGTGGAGGACTCTTTAAATGCTTAAAAGGAAGGAAGATATGTGTGTGCGTGTGTGTGTTGTTGCATGTGGGCTAGCCAACGCAATCCAAAGCCCTTAGTCACTCCCATTTTCGTCTCACAAACGCAGAGACTCAAAGTTTATGCAGCGAAATCTTTCGTGGAAGTAGATGGTTGGTAAGAGTACTGCCGCTGCAGTGAATTACCACTCAAATGACCCGAAGAATTGCATGAAAAATGCAACAACGACAAAAATTGCAGAAAAGAAATGAAAAAAAAAATTAACAACAATAAAAACAGCATTTAAGCGCTGGCTGTAAGTAGTATATGTATTAAGGTGTATGATGGCATTGCTTTGAAAGCCTGTATGTTTGTATGTATGTATTTATGTGTGTGTGAATTTTACCTAAGAAACTGCAGCTATTATACCCACTTCCAGAACGGCGACCAGTCGTTTTGTTGCAGCTCCAGGTATTTTGAAAATTTATTTTATCCTTCGTTGTTGACATATTCCTTGCCTTCCGCGCCTGGCCCTTCCATATACATGTGTATGTACGTATGGATGTTTGTGTGCTACTGAGCGCGCTCACTTATGCTGCTTGCACATCAAAAGTAATGATGCTGCGCAACTTGATGATGCTGAGAGATTGCTTTATACACATGTATTTGTTAAAATTTCCTTTTGGTTGTGTAAATTTTTTTAAATTTTGTTGTTATTGCAATTTTATAGTGCTTTTTGATGCACTCGCTGCTTGCATTGTCGGCAAAACGCTTTTAAACACTTCTCTTGCCCACTTGGCTGCTGCTTTGGCGCATCAAAATGCCAGCAACAGTTTCATTCTTTTGCTGCGTGCGTATGTTGTTGCTGATGACAGGCAGCCGAAAGACAACACAATGAATATTTTACACTTTTTCGCGTTATGTGCGACTTTTTTTTTGATTAAAAGGTTATATTTTTACGCAATCTGCCTTTGTTTGAGATGAAGTTAATGCGAAAATACAGCTGCCGTGTTGATTTTGTTGTTGCTGAATTTTTTCAGAACTTTTATTGTGGATTTTTTTTAATTTTGTTGTTGTTGTATTTTTAATTTTTTGTTGTAATTTCATATATTGAACTTTTCAGAACTTTTATTGCGGCATCTTTCTCATTTTTATATTGAATTTTGTTGTTGTATTTTTCATTTTTTATTTTAATTTTTTATGCTGATTTTTTCGAACTTTAATTGGTGAAACTRTATAATTTTTGTTGTTGTTGTTGTAATAAAATTTTTGAAATTGCAATTTTTTTATTGCAACTCTCTCTACAACTATTTTTTCGCAATTTTGCAATTTTAAAATTCTGGTTGTTGTAATTCTTTTTACAATAATATATTATATTCT